AATATGATCACCGAGGTCATTTATGTAAAGTATAAAGAGAGTTGGTCCTAGAAGGCTGCCTTGGGGGACACCACTGTTGACAGGTACAGGATTTGATAGGGTGTTCCCTATTTTGACCATTTGTTGTCTGTATGACAGGAATGCATCTATCCAGTTATGCAGGTGTCTGGAGATGCCATAATATTTTAGTTTTAGGAGTAGTTTGTTGTGTACCACTGAATCAAAGGCTTTATAGAAGTCTCTGTAAATAGTGTCAATCGCTTTGCCTTGATCAAGTTGTGTAGTCCATATGTTTTTGCAGTGTAGGAGTTGCAGATTACAGGATAATTTTTTTCTGAAATCAAATTGTTTGTTAGAGGGTAGGTTGTTTGTCTCTAAGTGGAGGATAATGGATTGGTTAATAATTGATTCCATGACTTTACAGGTGACGCAACATAAAGAGATTGGTCTGTAATTTTCAATTAGGCTGGGCTCTCCCTTTTTGAAGATGGGGATGACCGTGGCTAGTGACCATAGGTCTGGCAAGGAGCTGGTCCTGAAAGATTTTTCAAAGATTATGCTTATATATTGCTCCAATCACACAAAATTTATCCCAGGGTATGTATTGGTTAGATGCAACAAATCTGTAATAGACATCTAAGTCTATATAGAGAAAACTGGAGGTCTCGGTTTTCTTCTCTCAGGAGTTCCCTGAATTTTCATACCTCCTGCCTTGGGCTAGTGTCTCAGTAGTTTCTACTGCTACCACCTATCTCCCAGGAGACATGTGCTTCTTGGCCTTGGAGTGTGATATAGAACTCTCACACTTTGTGGTCCCTTTCTAGAAATTAAAAAGTCAAAAAATAAGAAGAATTATTATCTGTATATATAATGCAATGTGGTCTGTGCTATGTAAGGTTATATAGCATAGACCATATTGGCTAGAAATTTTAGCCTTTTCACTTCTCCTTGTTTTAAACTATACATTTAAAATACCATCTTTCAATGTTAAATGAGATAAATTTCAGAGGAGTTTATTCATAGGAAAACATCTGGTATCTTACTTACCAAAAGAAAACTGCAAAATTAAAAACAATGCACTGAGCACATCTCCAGATCATGCTGGTCTATACAAATAGCCACTGACTGCCCTAGGTTTTCCATAAGAAGGAGTTGGAATAGAGAGTTCCACATTAGTATTATAGATTAAACAAATTTTCTAGAGAGAAAAAATATTTTCTGGAAGGCATTTTGTAGCTTTTATTTAGAAATATATATACAGCAAGCAGGAATCAGATGTCAGGAATCATACCTGGAACAAATTTATTCCTAAGTATTTTATCTATTTCCACACAATTATCCATTTTCTGAAGTTCTTCTCCCTTACCTGGGCTTTCTCTAACTTTTTGGAAATCCAATGTTAATCAGAATCTATAAATGGCTATATTACCCTAATACTTTTCCCAGTTTCAGTACATAGTCTTCAGTGAATACTCCTACAATTTGTTCTTTACTTTAAAATGATCAAAATGACCATTTCTACCCCTTATGGCAGAGTATTTGATCCTATAAGAGACCCAAAACATATAATTATTTCTTGTGAGTATCTCTACTAGCATTCTGGCATAAGGAGCTGGTAGACAGGCTACATTCACAAAAAGTACACATCAGACTCCAAGGTCCTTGACAGAGTTTGGATCATCAGCAAGGTCTTGACTATTCAGCTTGTATTTTATTTTCTGATTTTTTTTGCCAATATGTAAGACAGAGCATTTATTTGTTGAGATTTGAAGTTGCCATTTGTTTGACCATTCTGATACATAGTCGAGGTCTTTTTGAAGGGTAGCAGTATTGTCTGTAGTGTTGAATAGCTTTACATCATCAGCGAAAAGAACGCAGTTGCTCTTAATATGATCACAGAGGTCGTTTATGTAGAGTATGAAGAGAGTTGGTCCTAGAACACTGCCTTGGGGGACACCACTGTTGACAGGTACAGAATTTGATAGGACGCTCCCAATTTTGACCATTTGTTGTCTGTTTGACAGGAATGCTTCTATCCGGTTATGCAGGTGTCCAGAGAACCCGTAAGATTTTAGTTTTAGGAGTAGTTTGTCATGTACCACTGAATCAAAGGCTTTATGTAGATTGTCTATGTAGATTGCGTCTATTGCTTTGCCCTGATCGAGTTGTATAGTCCATATGTTTTTGCAGTGTGAGAGTTGCAGATTACAGGATAGTTTTTTCCTGAAACCAAATTGTTTATTAGAGAGTAGGTTGTTTGTTTCTAAGTGGAGGATAATGGATTGGTTAATAATTGATTCCATGACTTTACAGGTGACGCGGCATAAAGAGATTGGTCTGTAATTTTCAACTAGGCTGGGGTCTCCCTTTTTGAAGATGGAGATGACTGTGGCTAGTGACCATAGGTTTGGCAAGAAGCTGGTCCTTATAATTTATATAATTTATATAATAAATTATAATTTATATAATTTAGGCTCATTGTATCCCCGAGGAAAGTTTTATTCAGAATTAGTTTTAATATATTCTATTTTTATATTGTTGATGTATACATTTTTATTGGAAATAAAAATCTGATTCCCACAGGAGCAGGTAATCCCATAGATAACCCAGTCCTATGTCGTGTAGGGTAGGGGTTCCCAACCACCAGTCCACAGCATGACAATAACTGGGCCACACAAACAAGTGAAGCACCAATCTGCGAGATGCAGGCAGCATGCAAAACCATGCTCTCCACATGGTCCATGGAAAAACCTTTGTCCATGGAACTCGTCCCTAGTGCCCAAAAGGTTGGGAACCTCTGGTGTAGGAATTTATAAGTGATAACAAGTACCTTGAATTACATATGAAAGCCTATATGGGCCAAACAAGAAACACCCATAACTATTTGTGCTGCTACATTGTGGATTAAATGAAGTTTCCAAATAGTTTTCAAGGTCAGCCCCATGAAGGGTGCATTGCAATAATTTATTCATTAGATTTTTATAGTGCCTTTATTACATGCCGAATGCTTCCTTTTCCATCTGTTTTTCTCACAACAACCCTGTGATGTGGGTTGGGCTGAGAGAATGGCTGGTCCAAAGTTACTCAGGCAGCTTTCATTTCTAAGGGAGACTCACAACTAGTTTCTAGCCTGTTGCCTTAATTACTGATATGATCAAGGCTGAGTGACTGTGAGAAGAGCACCAATCCAGGAATAGGAACAACTGGCACACAATACAGAATTCTGTGAAGGTCCCTCTGGCTACAACTGCCCCTTTGTCTTCAAGCAAGAACTGTGAATCCAAGAGGATCCCCAGATTGTGCATGGGATCCAAGCAAGCATGGGCACAGATGTGCAGTCAAGTACCATCAGCATATTGACGACAGTATAGTTTCACAAAAATGCAGTGAAGACTTTTAGTGCCATGTCAGTTTAAAAATCATATTCTCCGAAACCTTCACTGGCAATCTGCTGGGGATTTTTTTTCCTCCCAGTTAAAAGTCTGTACAGATTCTCAGTCATCCAGGTCATGGTTGTCCCAAAGGTTTCAGGAGTATGCTGTCCCAGCCAGTCAGGAGTGTGCTGTCCCAGCCAGTCTATGGGAATTGGATAGTTATTTAGGAATTATGAGCTGTCCCCTTAATGGAATGCATCATGGTAAATGTAGTTAAAGGTACCCTGGGAAATGTAGTTCATGTCACGTGACCACATCTGTAATCCTGATTGGTCACTAAATTGACCTTCGAGGAGTTACGGGAGGTTTCCCTCCATTCTTGCCTGGACTCATGAACTGATAGTAGCTTTTTCTACTGCTACGAGATGGGTTAGGAGATAACCATCTTTTACCTACAAGGCAGATATACAAAGGATTGGTCATAAAAGAACTTCGTCACAAACGTGAGTTATGAGGATACCTGATGAACCAATAAATGTTCTTTGTTATGGACGTCTTGTTATCTCTCTGCATCTGTACAGTTTATGAATCCACCTCTGTACAAGATACAGAAAAAGGAGGTAACTTTCTTGTTTTTTCTTTGAAGATGTTTTGATTCTTATCCAATAAGCTTCTTCAGTTCTGACAGGATAGTGAGGAATGGAAGGATTTATATTCCTTGCAGAAAGCTGGTCATTTGCATCCTTTGGGAGTCGTTGAAGCACTTGGATGTATATCTGTGTCCTCAGGGTTACCTGAATAGGGCTCCTGATTCCTGTAGTCTGCATTTTTTCCTCTGGAAATCCATTCCTACTCCCACACCATTGAAATGGTGTTCATCGCAAATTGTATAGCTAAGTCTGTAGAGATTCTCAGTCATCCAAATCATGGTTGTCCCAAAGGTGCTTATTTATTTATTTGATTTGATTTGTCAATTGCTTACAAGATAATAGGTGTAAGTATAAACATGAGTAAGAATACAGGAAATAGGTACGAATAAATGGGGACAAAAGGACAGGGACGATAGGCACAATTTTGCACTTATGCATATCCCTTACAGACCTCTTAGGAATGGGGTGAGGTCAATAGTGGATAGTTTGAAGTTAAAGGAGTGGGGGTTAGAGGATGTAACAACAGAGTCAGGTGCATTCCAGGCATTGTCCACTCTGTTGCTGAAGTCGTACTTTCTGCAATCAAGTTTGGAGCTGTTTACATTGAGTTTGTATCTGTTGTGTGCTCTTGTACTGTTGTGGTTGAAGCTGAAGTAGTTATTGACTGGTAGGACATTATAGCAGATGATTTTGTGTACTACAGTTAAGTCAGGAGGTTTTCCCTCAGTTATCTCAATGGGCTGTCGGAAGAAAGATCTGAACCATCATAATTCTGATTCTAGGTTATTCTGATTCTTTTCTTTCCCAGGTACAGATCACATATAAGTCTAAAGTTTGGGCTGTAAAATCCTTGTTCAGTGGGATCAGTCCGTCTTTGGTTGAGGAACCCCTGGCGAAAAGGGGAAAGTCCTTTCCTGCTCAACTTCTCAAACAAACAACACACAGAACCGCAAACCATTCCAACTTCTCCCCTTACGCGGCTTCGTCAGACGTCACGAGGGCCCTTGCGAGTGGCGCATGAGCACCCGCAGCCTCCTCCGCCTGGCTTGTTTCAGTCTTCGCCGAAGCAAAGCTGGGAAGCAGAGCAAGAGGAGCCACCTCTGCGCTTAACGGTCTCCAAATTAGTACCGTCGCCCGCTCGGCTGCCGGTGAGTACCTCGTCCTTCAGCCGCCACCCCCTTTTCTCTGTGTGTGTGTGAACCGCACGGGGAAGGCAGCGAGGCGGTGGGGCCGAAGTGGGCGCGCGCCCATAAGGGTTCTTCGTGGGTTCAGAAGGGCAGATTTCCGACAAAGGAAGGGAGAGCCGGGAAGGCTGAGCCCCCGCCGGGCCTATAAGTGAGCGTTAGGCGAAAAGGGGAGAAAGGCCCGTTCCGTTAAGGGAAGCTGAGGGAAAGAATAGGGAGATTTGCGCCCCCCGGGTTGGCAAAAAGCGGGGTCCTTTGTCCACCCTTTCTGTTCCGAGGTTGAAGCGTCCGACCAATCACGACCGCGCCCTTCGCCGTCCGGAGGGGACGCGAGCCTTTCCTTCTGAACTCCCCCGGAGAGGGAGGAAGGGGAGTAATCTGGCTCGGCTCCCGGTGTTGTGAGCCGGCGGCGGGGAGCTGGGCCCCGATTTTCTCCTCCGGCAAGGGATGGAAACTAACGCTCAGTTATGGGAGAGGCGAAAAACGGGGGTGGGGGGGTGGGGGTGGAAAGAGGCGGGCGCTTGGAGGGTCTCTGGGGCCTCATTATGGGCGCTGTCGGAAAGCCTCGCCGATTCCCTGAGGAGGACGGAGAAGGGCCCTTGAAGGAGAATTTGGAGTTTCATTACGTAGCATGTTTTCGTAAACGGGAAAGAAGGAACTAGTTGTGCTTTTTGTGAGACTCGGTTTCCCTTACGCGGAGGCGTGACGCGGATTTCCGTAACCATCCGTTAGTAATAAGGGCCGAATCGATATTAGTCTGATTCATACATCATATTAAAGCATAATCCGATTTGGTTTCGTATATTGTGTGGATTTAGCCATTACGGTTTAGTGTAAAACCATGGTTTATGGATTAAAATAATCTTAAAGCCTGTGCAGGCTTCAACTCATACAGGCTTCAACTCATCGATCATGCTGGAAAAGTTTGATGAGGTTGAAATAAAGTAATTGGAAAGCAAGGAGTTGTCTTCTCCTGGCTTATGTTCTGAGAATGAATTTTCCAAGTAATACAGGATTTAGCATAGAGTTTTGTCATGGGTGAACAGAATCACGCTATTTGCTGTCTTGAAGTACTTATCCCTTTATTTTATGAAAGTTATATGTATTGTTAAAAATACAGTTATCCATTATTTGCATAAATAGATTTTTACTAGTCATATTTTTAAATTAAATCTAATAGCACAAGTTTATGCAGTTTGAAATTAAATTCTGCTTCTAGTATAAGACTTTGGATCAGGGGTTCCCAACCTGGGGTGCTCGCATCCCCTGGGGGTGCGAGACAATATTCCAGGGGGTGCGAGAAAAGTCCAGGTAAATTATAGGATATTGGCTATATGTTGGCATTTTTATTTATTATGCAATGGATTAACTTTGTTTTCATTTTAGAGTTAAGTATCGTTATTTAGTGGCCATCACATACATAGCTGAAAAGATTCAATCCTACCATATATTTAACATGTTCAGTAGTTCCTAAAGTCTAAATTTCAGGGGGTGCGAGGTTCGAGTGAAATTTCTTTAGGAGTGTGGGGCAAAAAAAAAGGTTGGGAACCACTGCTTTAGAGTTATGATTCATGCTGTCACTTCTGAAATATATATATAGATAGCACATCTTGAATTGAAAATAATTGTCCATTTCATATACTGTTTTTTACTTCTCCAAAGGCACAGGAAATATTTTTAACCATTAAACATTTTTAACAATTTAGAAAGTCAGAGAAACTAATCGCTTCTAATGTATTGTTATTATAATTAATGTTAAAAGTAACAAAACTACCATGAATAGTTACCAGTGATAAATTTATCTTCCATGAATTTGACTAATTTTTCCCATGAATTAATCCAGGTGGTTTGCCAACAGTGTATTTCTTTTGGAAGTCCATAGTTTTAAACCACATTGAGTGTATTCTCTGTTCAGTTTGTTAGGCAAATCCTGTATTTATTTACTTTTTAATATTCATATAGAGCCTTTTGTACATGACCTCCGATTGGTATACGCAATATTCTCTCTTCCTGTTTTCCCTCATAATAGTCATATGAGGTAGGTTGGGCTAAGAGTGACAGGCCCAGCAAGCTTGTCATTAAAAGACTTGTTCATTTTTCTACATTATACATAAAGTATGTTTATACATCTCTATACTCTGTTTCTTCCTTTGCTAAAATAAAGAGATCCATGTAATTTTTCCTTTACATATTATCAAAATAAGCATATTATCCCATGTCGGTTATTTTACAGATATTATAATATCTGTAACTGAAAAATAACTGAAATCATAAGTAGTATATTTTCATTTCATTTTCTGATAATTTCTACCCTTTTTTTAAAAAAACAAGTTTTATTTTCAAGACAAACAATACATAAATACACATAAACACAAAACATAAAAGCATAAAAAATCTCTTTTCTGAAAGTTGCTTAGTCCCGGGTTAAAACTCTTGGTACAGACACAAGTTCAGTTTCATATTCATTTTACATACCATTCCATATCTTATTAACATTTTCAATTTTCTATATAACTTCTCCTCTCCTTTAAATTTTCTCAATTTTTTTCCTCCTCTCAATTCATATCCTAATATTTATTATTCTTTGTCTGTTCTATTCCAGCCAATCATTTATTTTTCTTCTTTAAAAAAAAGAAGAAATACTTCTCCTGTACACTATATGGAGTATGATGCCTTTATCTTTTTCCCTTATATTTATAGTACTTAATATAAAATACATAACATACATTGGGATTCTGTCTGGTACATTCTAAAATTATACTATATTATCAAAAATAATACAAATCTATTCATTAGTATTGATATTCATTCGTATCTTAGACGTTTAACTCATTACTTTTCAATTAAATCACATGCTTTTATGAGAGCCCTATTTTCCATAATTATCCCCCCCCCCACATCACATATTATAGCTCAATATTTCGTTGAAATGTTCCTCCTTCTTCTACTTCAAATCTCATTTCACAAAAGATTTTGCTAGTATACCATGTTCTAATCATTAATTTTAACAATCATTTATATCTTAAACATTTTATCCATTTCAATTGAATATCATGCCTTTGTGGGAACACTTATGCTTTCCACAATTATTACCCCCCCCCATCACAATCTTGAATCATATTTCATTACAGTACTCTCTTTTTCTTAACAAAAATTTCACTTATTTATGTTAGATATTTTATCACATTTTAAGCTACATATTATTTCTAATTTTCTATAATTACTTCTAAATACAGATATAAAAATGCAATCTTATGTACCTTTCTAGAATCCCATTAACAATAAGATCTATCCGTTATCTCTGAAAAACTTTTGCTTCTTAATATCTTGCTCCCCACCATTAGAGCTTCTCATCCCTTCCTTTCTCCCTTGCTTCTTCTTCTCCTTGTCCTCTTCAACCCCTTGTCTCTCCACCTCCCTTTTATTCTGCTTTCCCCCTTTCTGTTGTTTCTTAACATAATGTCCCTTTTTCACCCTATTCTTCTCTTTTTGGGCTGTTTTTCCAAATCTTAAAGACCTCTTTTCCTTTTTCTCTTGCTTTTTCCCATCTCCAATCAAAGTCCTTTTTTCATCAAAGATGGCTTCTTCTTCTTCTTTGTCCCCATCATCCTCATTCTGCTTCGCATAAATATAAACCGCCATTTCTAAGTATTGAAAAATAGTGCCAAGTCCATCTTCCCCTCCTTGTTTTTCTCTTTCATATTTTTGATATATAAGTTCCAATCCATCCACAGATGATGCCATTGTGTAGAGAAAAAGTTTTTCCAAATAACCACCTAGATGATTTAATCAGAAATAATTTCCAAAGGTTCCAAAATCACCAAACAATCCAAACAGACTGTTTCTTTTAAATACCTTCTTCTTCTTCACTTTTTCTTTCTGAGGTTAAAGTAATCACAAATCCTTTTCAAATATATTTTTTGGAAGTTTTTAAACTCTTTGCAATTCTAGGCAATCTTCTCCTTATTTTCAAATTTTGCTCTGATTTTTTTTTTCACTCTCCCTTCCCACTCACAGCCAAAAAGATTTTTTTTCCCCCACTGTCACTTTAGGAAGGAGAGTAGAACAAAGAAAAAAAAACGTTCCCCTTTAGGGTATTCGCAGCTTGTGGCTCTCACAAGGAACAATATATCCTTAACAGCTTTCAAGGTTCCAAATCACTTTCTCCCGTCTTGTCCCGGTCAGAAGCACCTTTCACTTTCTCCAGCTTTCTCCCTCCTGCACTTGCTTACCCGGCTGCAGCTTTCTTCGTGGCGGCCATTACTGACCGCCGTTCCTCCGCCTCGGGAAAAGGGAGTTTAGCCGGCTGGGGAGGGGGTTTGCGACACCCACAAACCCCTTGCCGGATCCCCCCTATCTTCAGCTGCCTTTACGGGGCAGCTATATCCCCCAGATCCAAATCGGGGGAACCTTGGCGGCGAACGCAGCAGGGATCGCGCGGTTGCAAATCCCTGCCGCCGCCGAAGGCTAGCAAACCGGAAACCAATTTCTACCCTTTTTTGTAGCAGTTAACAATTTATCCTTTTTTCTAATGTACAATTTATCCTTTCTTGTACAATTCTATTGCAATCTACTACAAATCTAAGACCATTCCTTGGTCAGTCATTGTCAGTGTGAATTCAGTGAATATAAAGTTAGGATTTTGGGGGCTGAACATACTTCACTTTTGCCATGTCTCTCAATTAGTTTGGAAAAATGCTCTTGGAAATATTAAGGAGGTATTGAATGACCTAATTATTAATTCCACAAAATACTTTCCAGAGGATTATTATGTCGTGTTTCTCCATTTATTCAGATCAAGGTATATACCGTACCAGTATAACCGTACCAGTATTATGTGATTCAAGGCAAAAATATCCTTCACTAAGTCTTCTGGACTCTTAACTAGCAATGAAATAAAGCAGCAAAACTTTTTTCTGTACTTCCATTGATGTCCAACATCGAAATTTGAGCTTCATATTGCCTAACTGATCTGATTCCTCAATTATTTGGGTCCCCCACCCCAAGAAAACTAGGCTGTTAATTCCTAACTCTAGGGTCATTATGAACATACTAAAAAGAATTAAACTTATTGGGGGTTCCAATGTTTATATTCATTTTGAGAATTCTTTCTCCCCAACTTCCACTTTCTGCCTTTCAGCCAGTAAGAGACTTTCCCTCTTATCTCAAGGCCACTATATATATTTTCAGGAGCTTTGGTGAAGAATTTATCAAAGCCCTACAAAGTTCACTTAAATTATACCACCTAAGTTACTGTTAATTCTTGTTGGCTTTCTCGAAGTATTTGGAAAACTGAGTCAAATAGCATTTTACTTTGCAGAATCTGTATTCCTTCTTCTCTTTCAAATAATCTGCACTTGATGGAAGAGTTAGGGCAAGCCCAGATAGAGGCTGACTAGCCAGCAGAAATACCAGAGGAGTATTTTTTGATTTATATACATGTTCATGCATGCACCTATGTTTTCTTTTTCTCCATTGCTTCAAACTGGTCAGGAGGGGGAATGCAATATTATTCAGTTTTAGAAAAAATATTGAAAAGAAAAGAATTAAGTATTAATTCTGTACTTGTTTGATTTACAGTTCAACCTGGGGTTTCCTAGATGTGAATGTTGGAAGTCTTTTATTGATAAAATTAACTATATACTGTAAATAGAGGTCTGAATGACATGACTCAAAGAAGTAAATGAAAACTCTGTAATTATTTACTTCTAGTAAATAATGGGTTTTTAGAAATAGAAATTAATAATCTAGAAATAAAAAATATGAATATCAAATTGTGGTTAATAATTTTTTGAACTGTTCTTGGACATTGGAATTTTTTATTTGCTTATTTAAGAACTTTTTTCCTCCAGTGAAAATGTCGCTGTATCCTTCTCTGGAAGACCTGAAGGTAGACAAAGTAATTCAGGTATGACAAAATAATTTTTGATAAACTTTTGTTGTGGGCAAAACTTGGTTTTTGAGATTTTTGAAGTATCACAGTAGTTTAAAAATATGGTGTTTGTGGTATAAATACTGTTTTATTAATTATATTGCATATATTAATCATACGCATAACCAAAAATCATCTGGAGACATGAAACCCACATTTTTTTCTAGAAGCTCTTTTAGCTATTCTGTTTAAAAAATTGAACATTTCCATACCTACAATTGCTTAGCTGAACTTTGATGTGAGTAGTTTTCTTAACTGTTTATGCCTGGTGAGCAGAAATGGGGTTAGCCATCCCTTTGAATAATCTTAGAGAGTGTTTTCTGGTTTACCAGAGATATGAATTCATCAAGCATTGTTTAGACTGAATGCTCTGGGCAGGTCATTCCATTCCTGACATCTGGTCCTGGCACAGGTTACTTGTGGAAGCTAATTTTAAGGCCTGATTGCAGCTTTAAAACTTGATTTCTTGAAATAAGGTAGTATTGTAGGGGGAAGAATAAACTCTTCTTTCACTAGCACTGACCTTCCACTAAATGGAAAAACAATAAAATCTCTAAAATCAGTATCAGTAATAATAGAGGTGATTGAAGTCTGACAGAGGGGCCAAATAACCTTATCTCTAAACTGGTGTTAAGTATAAAATAAGAACAAGAAAATAGGAAGAAACTTTTAGAGAAAGGTGATGACTTTCCTGAGAAATATGTAGGTTGTATGAGACCTTTGTACTGCATTGAGACTTTACCCAAAAGTTATGCCGGTTGCAGGATTAGTGTTAGATGAGAAGTCCAGTGACCATGTTTAAATTCTAAATGTCAGTAAGCTGAGTGGGTAATCTTGAATCAAAATTTCAGTACTTGAGGGAAGAGCATTTATACCAGATTCAATTCTTGGAAAAAGGTGGAGGAACCCTAATTTTTTTAAGATTAAACTTCACTGTGATGTGGATGTATAAACTGGTGCTCCTTTATGTCTCTTTATCTCTCATTATTGTAATATCATGATGCACATAGAAGTAGAGATTATAAACATCTTTGTTCACACTGCTTTTGTTTCATACTAGCAGTAGTTAATCCCAACATTTAATATTTTACATTTAGAAGCCAAATAAAAGGGGAAATGGGATACAATGATATTACTGTGAGCTATGCATAAAATGGGTGGGACATGTTTTAAGCTTTATATTTTTATAGCTTCAAAAAGTTTTAATCAAGAAGCTGTGATGGATAACCATTTTATCTCACTGTTTCTCTCATCAAAATCTCCTTGTCCAAGTTGTTGTCTTCCCATCTTAACAATGTGAATTTAACTTTTATCAAAGAACAATCAATTGTGACTGCACTGAAATAAAATAAAAAGACAAGGTTCTTACTATTGAGTCAGATCTAGTTGAGCACTTGGAGAATTGCTTCTTAAAATTGTGTCTTGCATAATGAGGAAACTGAAAAAAATTACAAAACCTTATAAAATGTTAACCATTACGATACATTAATATGTAGAAACATTCAGGTAGTCTTTGCTTAATGACAGCAACTGGGGCTGGAATTTCCATCACCAAGAGATGCTGTCATAAAGTAAACATCACATGATGACATCTCTTAGCAATAGCAATCATAGCAGTTCCTGTTGCCATTGTTAGCAAGGATCACAGGTAATAAAGCAGAGACTACTTCACAACTTCTTGCATGCTTCCAACAAGCAAAGTTAATGAGAAGCCCACAGGAAGTTGCAAGCCCTTGGTGTCTCACAAAGAGGCAGGTAGTCAGATAAGGGGCTGTTGTGCTGTGTGGAGGGTGGCTGCTACAGTTTGGGAAGGGTGCGTGAGTAACAGAGCTACATGAGAATGATAGGGCTTGGGTTGGCAGCTACTGGGGATGGGAGAGTACATCTGTGCCCATGAGTGTTTGCTGCCGGGTGAGAGATGCTGTGTCAGTAGTTGCAAGTGGCTGCTTTCAGGTGAGGGAGGGTGCCAGTGGTTGCCATGCAAGCATTGCTGGACATACATAGATGTAGGCAGGTGTTAACGATTATGCACTGCACATACTAGCAATAACACTTAGATCTATATAATATTCTATAGTACTTTACAGCATTCTCTGAGAAGTTTGCAAATACCAGCATATTGCCCCTAACAATCTGGGTCCTAACTTTACTGACCTCGGAAGGAAGGAAGACTGAGTAACCCTTGAGCCGGTCAGGATTGAACTCCAGGCTGTGGGCAAAGGTAGCCTACAATACTGCATTCTCACTATGATTCATAAGTACACTAGAATAAGATTCTCAGAATCTTGTACTAAAAAAAAAAAAAAAAAAGCTGTGGGAGCAACTTAACAGGACCAACTTGTAATCTTCCCTGCTGGCTTCCCCATTAACTTTGCTTATGGGACACTGACAGGAAGATCACAAATGGTGATTGTGTGACCACAGGATCCTGCAACCATTGTAAGTATAAGCTGAATGCCAAGTGCCCAGATTGTGATCATGAGGGTGTTGGGATGGCCAGACTTTGAAGACCAATCGTAAGTACCTCATGCTTAGTGCCATTGTAACTTTGAGCAGTTGCTAATGAATGATAATTAACCAAGAACTGGCTCTAAAATGTTCTATATTTTTATGTAGTTTAATTCTTTTATTGTTTTTTAAATCATATTTCTGTATAGGCTCAGACATCCTTTGCTTCAAATCCAGCTAACCTAGCAATTCTATCTGAAGCTTCAGCACCCATCTTACAAGATGGAAGTAAGTTGTTATAAGATTTGAAAAACGCTTAATACTTTGTATAAATTTCATTGATTGTAGAAAGATTTAATATTTTAATTGATTGTTATATGTTTTGCTCTTAACATGATCTTTCATAATCCATTTATTTATAGATGAATTTGTAAAATTTATTTTCTAGCCTTTGAAATCCTGTCTGTTGATGAATTCTGGGCTTATCTCAAAAGAAATGAATTTTGCAAGTTTTAATTTGAAGAAAAAAGCTCAGTAATGTTTTATATTTTATAATATGTACTTGGGATACATTGTTTTTATTTTTTTGAGAATGATAGTATCAGTTTATATATCAAATTCATTATAAAAATAAATCAAACTTACTGAAATGCTTACATTCAGTTTGGAATTTTGAATACAAGGAGCGCAGAATAGATTTTGTGAACTCTTGTTTTATTTTCAGACAGAAAACCATTTTCTCTAGTGTAGAATCATTGTAAGAGAATGTAATGTTGTTGCAGTATGAAAGTAAACTTCAGGTTAGTTAATTTAGTACCTTCAACTAGTGTGTTCAGTTTTTAAAAATGCCAAAGGATGAGATTAATGAAATATGAGGCATGCTGTTTATTTTGCCAAGAATATAATTCAAGGGACAGAAATACATTGTAGCAAGGTTATAATTACTTTGGTTTTTACTTTTTTCAGATTTATATCCTAAACTGTATCCTGAACTTTCCCAGTATATGGGTATAAGTTTGAATGATGAGGAAATTCAGAGAAACCTGACAATGGTTCCTGCAAATTCACAGGGGGTAAGTGTCATAACAGAGAACAGGGATTCCTTTGGGCTTTACTGATTTTGAGGGATTAAATTACTCATGAAAAAAAGGGAAAGAAAGATGGGAAACCTATTGTATTCCCTCCCCTATAATTGAAAAAGTCATTAACAAAAAAACATACATGTTACATTAAAACAATGGATGTATCTGCTCAGCTTGAATTTACTTCAGTCTTTTTATAACTCTGATTTTATAGATGCTCAAAGATGTATATCTGATAATAGGGTTTGTTCTGATTTTAATTTGTTTGTGGGGGAATGTTTTTTTACTCTATAGCTTGTTGCAAGACCTTCTGCATCAGATTACATGGTAGCTCCAGTAACCGGAAATAATGTTGGAATTCGTCGAGCAGAAATTAAGCAGGGGATCCGTGAACTGATCTTGTGTAAAGATCAGGAAGGAAAAATTGGTCTTCGTCTTAAGTCAGTGGACAATGTATGTATAATAAATGTTATGCTAGAATTCAAAATAGATAAATTGTTACATAAAGATGTATTCTTTATTGTTTATCTTTCAGCCCTTGAAGTTGGACAGCAAAAATATTTTAAAAAATTAAAAATGCTTATATTTATGAGTCACAAAGAAATTGCTAACTTTTTAAAAATTAAACACTTTCATGAGTAATACAATTAATAGTATAATCAGAGAACTAATATTAGCTTAATACATTTTATCAAATTTAAGTATGTATTTTTGAATTAAAATTTTAGGAATGGTAGATGTAGTATTTGTAATATAATAATGTTAATAGAAGGTTGAGGCTTGCTTATTTAAAAATGATCAATTTGTTCAATATATTTCTCCTCTGCTTTTAATATATACAGGAATTATATGATCACACACCTAAACTTACCATTATTGTTTTAGGGTGTCTTTGCTCAGCTGGTTCAGGCAAACTCCCCAGCCGCACTGGCTGGCCTGCGATTTGGAGACCAGATTCTACAAATCAATGGTGAAAATTGTGCTGGATGGAGTTCTGATAAAGCTCATAAAATATTAAAGCAAGTTTCTGGAGAGAGAATTTCCATGATTATTCGAGACAGGTAAACTTGCAGGATTATTGTATATCAGCTGAATTATATTAATCGTAATATCTGTGCTTTCTGTATTGTTAACTTAAAAGTATAAGCTTCTTCACAGCCAGTAAATTTGGGGTTATTTTATTGAGGACAGTGGTTCAGTAATATATTTGGTAAATTTTATAAGTAGTGAAATACAAATATTTTTCTTCTAGGCCTTTTGAACGGACTATTACCATGCACAAGGACAGTACAGGACATGTTGGCTTTATCTTCAAAAATGGAAAAATAACTTCAATAGTAAAGGATAGTTCGGCTGCAAGAAATGGACTTCTTACTGAACACAGCCTTTGTGAAATAAATGGACAGAATGTAATTGGTCTGAAGGTAAATGATGTTTTTTGTAAATATGTTGTACTCTAATCAATTAAACTGACAAAAAAAATCACTTGTAAACATATCAGTAATATACAATTGTACCGTGGCACATGACTGCTTTGAAGCTCTTTGAATTTGATACTTGATGCATTTTGACAAGAACATTTTGTCCTAGTCCAAAATTTGTTTGATATACCATGTGCAAGCTATAACTTATTGGTGTCGGCTGCCTTGTTATTTTCTGTTTTTTCCAGTTGAAAAAAAGGTCCATGCATTAGTCATGTGGTATCTTTCTTCTGTGCTCACCCCCTTGTTGTCTTAGCTTGTGTGGTCATTTTGTGTATTTTTGCACTTTTTTCTCATCAGTACAGGAAAAATGAAGTTTTTACTTTAAGTGTTTATTAATTTTAATACATTTTATTAATTTTACTTCTCATGTAATGATATACAACCCTATGTGATGACCTGGGGCATGGCACAAAAGCAACACAGC